TACATATAGACATACAATTACATATGTATTTGATGTGTTTTTGACATAAACACATTTGTCACATTCGTTGATTTTGAATCCATTTGATAACATCACGTCATCAAATTTCAAATGCCATTGTTTCGGAGCTTGTTTAAGTCCGTACAAGGATTTCATCAATTTGCACACCTTTTTCTCTTGTCCAGGTGCTACAAAACCTTCGGGTTGTTCCATGTAAATCTCTTCTTCTAATTCACCATTCAAAAATGCCGTTTTGACATCCATTTGATGAATCTCAAGATTGTGCAAAGCAGCAATAGAGAGAAGCACTCTAATTGACGCTATACGCGTCACAGGTGAATAGGTATCAAAGAAGTCATACCCTTCTTTTTGTTTAAAGCCTTTGACCACTAATCTTGCTTTAAACTTATCAATCGTTCCATCAGCTTTGTTTTTTTCTTTTTAGGATCCACTTGCATCCTAAAGATTTACAACCCGCAGGGAGATCAACCAACTCCCAAGTATGATTTTGCATAATGGACTCGATTTCGCTATTTATAGCTTCTTCCCATAGTGGTTCATCTGGGCTAGATAGAGCTTCCTTAATGGAACTCGGTTCATCGTCCAACATATATGTAATAAAATCAAGTCCAAACATTTTTGCCGTTTTTACCCTTTTACCACGTCTCGGTTCTTCTTCTTTATCTTTAGTACCATCTGGTACAGAACCGCTAAGAGTTTCATACGTCCTTTTGTTAGAACTAGATTCTGCCCTTTCCTTCAAAGGAAAAATATTCTCGAAGAATATAGCATTCCTCGACTCAATAGTGGTACCAACCGATACCTCCAGATTTTCTGATTTATAAACCAGAAATCTATATGCAGTACTATTGTATGCATATCCAATAAAAATACAATCGGCCGTCTTAGGTCCGATTCTCATTTGTTTTGGTTCAAGAACTGAAACCTTAGCCAAACACCCCCACATTTTCATGTACTTATAAGACAACTTACGATTTTTCCACATTTCGTAAGGTATCTCATTTTTCCCTTTAGGCGGTATTTTATTCAGAATATGATTTGCTGTTAAAACAGCTTCCCCCCCACATATTCTGGGGTAATCTTGAATTTATCAACATGGCATTCATCATCTCTTTTAAAGTTCGGTTCTTGCGTTCAGCAACACCGTTCGACTGTGGAGAATAGGGGGTCGTCGTTTGATGAATTTATGCCATATTCAGAACATATTTGTTCAAAAGGAGCTACATACTCCCCCCCTATCACTTCGGATTATTTTAATCTTTTTGCCGAGTTGATTTTCAACTTCGGTCTCATAATTTTTAAAAGCTTCCACAACCTCGTCTTTGCTTCTTAAAAGATACAAGTAGCAAAACCTTGTGCAATCATCAATAAATATTATAAGATATCTTTTACCCGTTCTTGTTTGGTTCAGTATTTCTTTTCACCGAATGAAAAGGTAATTTAGCCATTTTGGCTTCAACACAAATTTCACATTTTTTGTGTGATTCAATTTTAGAATTAGGAATTAATTCTAAGTTCATCAACCATTTAATTGCATTTATATTCACATGTCCTAATCTAATATGCCATAAATCAGAACACTCCACGATATAAACAGAAGTACTATTTTCATTATCATTGGAAACGGTTACACGGCTCACAGCCATTACATTCACTTTAAATAACCATTGTCGAGATAGCCACGACCAAGGAATTTACCATACTTGCTAAGAATAAACTTCTTAGCTTCAAACACTAACTTAAAACCATGCTCTACAAGAAGAGATCTGGAGATCAAATTCTTGCGGATGCCTGGGACATGCAGAACATCCTTAAGCTTCAACTCATTTCCAGAAGTCAGCTTCAGCACCACGATGCCAACTCCAGCTACATCAGACGAGGAGGAATTGCCCATGTGGAGCTTCCGACCATTTGAAGGAGTGTATTCAGAAAACAACCCCTTGACGGAACACACGTGGCAAGTGGCACCAGTATCAATGTACCACGCCCTTAGGTTATCCACCAAATTGGCTTCAAACACCACAGCCGACATATCCATGTCGGTTAGTTCACTCGGCATAGGGTCGTGTTCAGCAATGAGGGCACCATGTTGTGCCTTCTTCAGACCAGCCTTTTTAGGCTTCCTGCAGTCCTTAGCCATATGGTTCGGCTTTCCACAGTTGTGGCAATTACCGGTAAATTTCCACACTTTGGGAGGCTGTTGCTTCCCTTTGTTAAGGGGCTTCCTTTTGCTCGAGTTGCCTTGTTCCAGCAAGTTGGCACGAGCTTCCATCATCGGGGCCTTCCCCGAAGACTTCCGAATGTCATCTTCAATCCGAAGACGAACAACCAGATCTTCAAGACTCATCTCCTTCCTCTTGTGCTTGAGGTAGTTCTTGAAGTCTTTCCAACCCGGCGGCAATTTCTCGATCACAGCCACAAATTGGAATGACTCGCTCAAAGACATTCCTTCAGCATGAATGTCGTGCAAGATGAGTTGGAACTCTTTCACTTGAGACACGACGGTCTTAGTGTCGACCATCTTGAACTCCAGAAATTTGCCGACGACGAATTTCTTCGCCCCGGCATCCTCAGTTATGTATTTCTTCTCCAAGGCAGCCCAAAGCTCCTTGGCAGAGCCAACCGAGCTATACACATTGTACAACTCGTTACTTAGTCCGTTGAGGACATAGTTCCGGCAAAGGTAATCACCTAGCCCCCAAGCATCGTATGCAGCTCGCAGCTCAGCATTCGATTCATTTTCAGCCACGACAGGAGGGTCGTCTTTCAGGTACTTCACCAAACCCAATGTGGTCTGGTAGTAGTGCATCTTCTGTTGCCACCTCTTGAAATCTAGCCCGTTAAATTTTTTGGGCTTCTCAGCAGTGGGAACATGAACAGCAGGTTGGGGATGATGAACAGCGAGGGTGACAGGTGGTTGAGTTTTTGATCCTTCTCCAGCGGATGCCATCAGTTCAATAGGTCAGATTTTAGTCTTGCGATTGTTACACAAAGTGTGTTTAAATTACAACGGGAACCTATGAACTGAAGATGATGATTTCAGTTCTTACAAAGTGAACTAAAACAGAATCGAAATTACAAAAGAGAACCGAAAAAATTGTCGAGGCGATTGCTCTTTCCGCAAGACGAAAATGCCCCGTATAGTGCTGACGGGTACAGGCGTCTCGTCCCCAAAGATACAACGGCTTACGTCTCGAACGCTGTAGCACACTAGAATTCGAGCTCCGACGAACTGGAATGAAGTCGAGAACAGAGCAGTATGATATGATGCGTGAGGCTTTGAGAATAATCAGAGTGCATGAAAATGTTGTATATGTTCTCTGCACCTCTAAGTCCTATTTATAGGACTTCCATATCTTGAGGGAAACCAGAAGTCACATCTGCCACTTAAGGCAAAGATAATGGGCAATAAAATTAACCAGGTGTTACTACACTATTAACCAGGTGTTACTACACCATTAACCAGGTGTTAAGGCCATTAACCAGCCATTAACATCCACCTGAACAGTCACTTTACACATGAAAGGTCACATGTCCATGTTCATTGTACCTGGAGAGGTTTCACTCGGGTTGGGTCAAAACCAATTCCAAATCCAACTAGAATTGGATTTTTCATTTGGGCCTAAAGTTGCAAATAAATTTGCAGAAAAAAAGATATATAGTGATTGGGCCCAAGCCCCAAGCCCAACCGCCCAAGGCCGCCCAAGTCCAGCCCAAAGTCCAATTGCCAAGAACCAAGAAA